CCAGTGGATAGTATTACAGTGACAATCAATGACATCGAACATTTCAACATAAACAGGTCAGTACCAGGTGGTAACAGACACACCCAGAGGATTAACACTCTCACTCACACAAATCCAAACACAGTCACATTTGGCTTTCTGGCTTTCACACTCACTTGCAATCTCACCCACTGGGTGCAAACATGTTTCATCACCACTTCAAAGGCACTTTACTTACAAGGGAATTCCCCCGAATGATAATGAATATTTTTTACAACAGATATTTTAAGGACCATTTAAATATGTTTTATATCAGTTGATATGAGGTACTAGCCTGGCTCAGACACTTTCACCTCGGAGTTGGAGCTACTCCTCACGCCATCCCTCATGTCAAGGACTTTGAGCTATAATAATAACAATAATAATAATTATTACGTTTGATATAGCACCTTATCAGGTCTTCAAGACGTCTCACGGCGGCAGCCAATTGCGCACAGCGATGCCCAACAAATAGTCATGGATTCAGTGACCACATTTTTTAAAGGGATTATTACCAGGCGATTATTGCCCCACTGGAAATCGATGGACCGTGTAGCGTGTGGACTTTCTCTGAAGTGTTAGATCCATTAAATCTACGTTTGCTTGGAGTTTTGGAAAAACCAGTCGTACGACATCTCCTCTTCAATCTAAAACAAAAACAGAAGTCGCTGGGAACACTCAGCAAGTCAGGCAGCATCTATGGAGCAAGGAAAGTGAGTCATGGTTTGGGGCCTACTGAGGGTTCCCAGTGACTTCTGTTTTTGTTTCAGATTTGCAGGATCTGCAGTATTTTGCATTTCCTCCTCAATCTACTTGTTTTTCGTGAGCTGCCAATCCTATTTCTCCTGCTCTTTCTCCAATCTATGTAGTTCCCATTGCTCTTCCACATAAGCTATACAATTCTGTCCATTGACTTGAAACTGGGAGCCATTTGCCTGCTCCCAGGCATCAATCTGAACCTTCAAACCCTCCTCTAGTTTGGGCAACATTTTGCAAAGTTTTGTTCTCTGCTTTTCTTCCTTTAACCGGTTCCCCCCTCAGTTGGTGAAATGATTTGGGTCTGATGCTTTGTTCTCCAACGACAACTGCAGTTCCAGTTTTACTCCCACTTATTATTATTTATCATAGGGTCTCATAACCTTATAGTAATAATAATCCTTGCATTTGATGTAGCGTCTCAAATAATATACAGCAGTATCCCACAAGCAGTCGTGGATTGAGTGACCATTTTTTTTAAGTGATTATTGCTCCCGGAAAACAATCCACCAATTGACTAACAACCGGTTTCCTTATTACTGCTAGTTAAACAGAGGCGTGTGCAGTAAGGAAACTTGCCTATGGTTTTGCCTGGCCCGGGAATCGAACCCGGGTCCCCTTGCTTGCAAGGCGAATGCTTTAACCACTGAGCTACAGGACTCCAGGCTGGTGCTCCAGCACAGTGCTGGGGAGAGAGGGCAACTGGGCATTGCGTTGTGGGGGACGTCGCCTCTCAGATGAAACATTAAAACCCAGGAGAGAATCAGCAAGAAAGAAAATCACATATTTGCCCAGCCCTAATGAGAAATGCTAACAAGGGCCGGGCAAATACTTTCCTGAACCCACTCCTACTTGTTTGCCATTAATCATGGTCACTGAGTAAATCTGCACATCACTGTGCGTTGACTTTACGGGTGGAACTGAAATAGGAAACTTGATAAAAGCAATAATCACCTGAGTTCAATTCCAGGCAAAGGGCGAAACCTTGGGCAAGTTTCCTTACTCCACACCATAATAATAATCCCTCCAAAACAAAACAATAATAAATTGGTCATTTTCAATCTACGATGTTTGTGGGACATTGCTGTGCGCAATTGGCTGCAGCGTTCGCCCACAAATATACAGTCAATTCACTTTACAGTATATTTTGTGAAGCGCTTTGGGACATCGAGAAGACGTGAAAAGTGCTATACCAAATGCAAGGATTATTATTATTTATTATTTGGGTCCGACGCCTGGAAATGATGCCATCAGTGTGTCAGCCCGACTCGGTGTGTATCAGCCCGGCTCAGTGCGTGTCAGCCCGACTCGGTGTGTATCAGCCCGGCTCAGTGTGTGTCAGCCCGGCTCAGTGTGTGTCAGCCCGGCTCAGTGTGTGTCAGCACAGCTCAGTGTGTGTCAGCCCGGCTCAGTGTGTGTCAGCCCGGCTCAGTGTGTGTCAGCCCGGCTCAGTGTGTATCAGCCCGGCTCAGTGCATGTCAGCCCGGCTCAGTGTGTGTCAGCACAGCTCAGTGTGTGTCAGCCCGGCTCAGTGTGTGTCAGCACAGCTCAGTGTGTGTCAGCCCGGCTCAGTGTGTGTCAGTGTGTGTCAGCCCGGCTCAGTGTGTGTCAATGTGTGTCAGCCCGGCTCAGTGTGTGTCAGCCCGGCTCAGTGTGTGTCAGTGTGTGTCAGCCCGGCTCAGTGTGTGTCAGCCCGGCTCAGTGTGTGTCAGCACAGCTCAGTGTGTGTCAGCCCGGCTCAGTGTGTGTCAGCCCGGCTCAGTGTGTGTCAGCCCGGCTCAGTGTGTATCAGCCCGGCTCAGTGCATGTCAGCCCGGCTCAGTGTGTGTCAGCACAGCTCAGTGTGTGTCAGCCCGGCTCAGTGTGTGTCAGCACAGCTCAGTGTGTGTCAGCCCGGCTCAGTGTGTGTCAGTGTGTGTCAGCCCGGCTCAGTGTGTGTCAATGTGTGTCAGCCCGGCTCAGTGTGTGTCAGCCAGGCTCAGTGTGTGTCAGCCCGGCTCAGTGTGTGTCAGCCCGGCTCAGTGCGTGTCAGCCCGGCTCAGTGTGTGTCAGCCCGGCTCAGTGCGTGTCAGCCCGGCTCAGTGTGTGTCAGCCCGGCTCAGTGTGTGTCAGCCCGGATCATTCTCACCATGTCAGGACTTAGAATCACAAAGTCTAAGCTGATGCTCCAACGCAGCACTGGGTCCTTTGGATGAGATGTTAAACTGAGGTCCCGTCACAGATGGATGTTAAAGATTGTATCTATCGACAAAACGAAGGGAGTTCCTCCCTCCTGGTGTCCAGGCCAACAATCCTCCAAACAAAATTGATCACTCAGTCCCTGGCTGTGGGTATTGGTGTGTGCAAATTGGCTGCCAGGTTCACCCATAAAATACACAGTCACTACACTTTACAGCAACTTTGAGATGCTTTGATGTTACAGGTGCCGTATCAAATGTGTCAAAAGTGGAGTCCTGCAGTGTAGTGGTCAGAGCCCTCGCTTCGCAAGCGAGAGGACCCGGGTTCGATTCCAGGGCAAAACTTTAGGCAAGTTTCCTTACTCCACACACGCGCCTCTGTTTACCAGCAGTAAATAGGAACCCGGCTGTTATTCGATTGGTGATTGTTTTTCAGGGACACTCCTGTGCGCAATTGGCTGTCGCGTTTTGTCCACAAAATGTACAGTCACTACACTTTACAGTGTATCCCGTGAGGTGCACGTCTTTAGGTGAGACGTCTAAAAGTCGTGATAAGGTGCTGGGTCAAATGCAAGAATTATTATTATTATTAAATGTAATGATTATTATCTTTACATCCTGGGGTGACTTTGATGTGGCCTGAACAGGGCAACACCCCCTGGTGTCAGTGACCCCCCCTGAGTGCCTCCCCCCAGTGACACAGACCACCCCATTGAAACTGACTCCTCCCGATGAAACTGACCCCCCCAACCCCCCGCCCAGTGACACTGACCCCCCACCAGTGACACTAACCCCCCCCATGACACTGACCCCCCCACACCACACCCCCCCCCCGTGACATTAACCCCGTCCGCGGGAAATTTAAATACCAAGGGTATAAAATGGACATCAGCCCCACACTGTGGACATTATCGGTATCACAGTAACACGAGACGTACCTGGTCTGAGAATTCCTGCTGATAAATTCCCGGATAATACAATAACAATAATCCTTGCATTTGGTATAGCACTTTTCATGTCTTCTCGACGTCTCAAAGCGCTTCACAGAATAGACTGTAAAGTGAATTGACTGTATATTTGTGGGCGAAACGCGGCAGCCAATTGCGCACAGCAGTGTCCCACAAACAGCCGTGGGTTGAAAATGTCCAATTTACTATTTTTTTTGGAGGGATTATTATTAGGGTGTGGAGTAAGGAAACTTGCCCAAGGTTTCGCCCTCTGCCTGGAGTTAAGCCCAAGTGTCTCGCTTGCAAAGTGAGTGCTCTAACCACGGAGCTGCAGGACTCCACTATAATTATAATAATAATATACTAATACTACAATAATAATAATATAATAATAATGTAACAATACTATAATAATATAATAATATAACAATGTTATAATAATATAATAATCCTTGAATTTCTTATAAAGACCAGGAACAATGCTGGTGACTTTATCACATCTTCGAGACGTCTCAAAGCGCTTCACAGAATATACTGTAAAGAGAATTGACTGTATATTTTGTGGGCGAAACATGGCAGCGAATTGCGCACAGCAGCGTCCACAAACAGTTATTATTATTATTTTTGGAGGGATTATTTATTACCCCCAGAAAGTGATCTGCCAATTGACTAACAAGTGGGTTCCTACTTACTGCTGGTAAACAGAGGCGTGTGGAATAAAAAAACTTGCCTAAGATTTTGCTCTGCCCGGGAATCGAATACCGGGTCCTCTCGCTTGTGAGGTGAGTGCTCTAACCACTTCACTACAGGGCTCCACAAGGCGAGACGGTCTGACAGGCTGAGAATGGGGGGAATTGCAGGGCTGAGGGTGATTTGTCTGCAGCTGCTGATGGACAGGGTTGTACAGTCAAATTGCTGCTCCCGGCAATAAGCTTAGCAAAAGGGGGGGTGGGTGGGTGAGGGCTTTCTTATAAAGACCGGGAACAAGACTGCTGAACTTTCCCTTTAAATAAGCGCTGAAGTGAATTCCAGCCCCTGCCAGTGTGCTGCCAGTTCATGCTGCCCTGGCGACAGTAACCAGCAAACACTCGGTGCTTGGCCGGACAGCGATGTGGCTCAGCTCACAGCCGGCAGGTCACCGCCCCCAGAGAGCCCCTCAGTCAATGGCCACTCTGTCCCGGCCCCTCGGGTGGACCCTCCTCACCTTCGGGATCCTTGACGTCCTTTTGGGAATCGTCTCCTTCTTCCCGGTGCTTTCCTACAAGCCCTGGTTTGCCGGATGGAGCGACCGGATCGCCTGCCCCCTCTGGACTGGAGCCGTGGTAAGGTTTCCCGGCAAATAATAATAATAATCCTTGCATTTCATACAGCGCCTTGTCACGTCTTCAAGACGACTCAAAGCGCTTCACAGAATATACTGTAAAGTGAATTGACTGTGTGTTTTGTGGGCGAAACGCAGCACCAATTGCACACATCAGTATCCCACAAACAGTGGCGGATTGCATGACCAAACATTTATTATTATTATTTATTATGTTTGAAGCGATTATCACCCCCACCAATCGACTGACAAGCGATTCCTACTTAGTGCTGGTAAACAGAGGGGTGTGGAGTAAGGAAACTTGCCGAAAGTTTTGCCCTGCCCGGGATTCGAACCCAGGTCCTCTCGCTTGTGAGGCGAGAGCTCTGACCACTGAGCTACAGGACCCCACTGCCTCTCTGTCTCAAATATGAGGGAGTTTCACTGGGAGTCGGGATTGAGGGTTATGGGGTTCAAGCCTCCAGTGTCAGGGACTCTGAGCTCCCAGTGCAGTGCTGGGAGGGGGAGAACGACGCATTGTCAACAACAACTTGCACTTATATAGAGCCCTTCACACAGGGTAGTGTCCTGGAGCACTTGACAGCGGCAGAGTCCGAACAATGCGCCGGGGGAGAGGGAGGGGGGAGGTGACCGTAAGCACCGATCAAAAAGTAAGGTTTTTAGGTGGGTTTTGACGGTGGGGAGGGTTGGGGTTAGCGAGAGAGTGACAGAGTTCGGGGGGTAGCGGCTGAAGGCAATGGTCGCCGATGGTGGAGACCGGACCCAGTCGAGCAGAGGCAGCGGGTGGTGGAGTTGGGAGGTAAGCAGGTCGGGGAGGTACGGAGGTGCGAGGGCCTGAAGGGGTTTGAATACGAGTGACAGGATCTTGAAATGGATCTGTTTGGTGATTGGGAGGCAGTGGAGCCTGGCAAGGACTGGGGTGATGTGGGAACGGTTTCGGTGAGTGTCTGGGCAGCGGAGTTTTGAATTAGCTGAATTTTGGGTCTGGTGGAGCGAGGAGGGCATTGTCCAGCCAGGGAATTGTCAGAGGCGCCGTCCTTCAGATCAGACGTTAAACTGAGTTGTGTCCGTCTGGGTGGATGTTAAAGATCCTGTGGTCCTGTTGAAAAAGAGAAGGGAATTTTTCTCTCCTTGTGTCCTGGCCAACAACAACAACAACACAAGAACCCTTGCATTTGATGTAGTGCCTTATCATGTCGTTGAGACATCTCAAAGCGCCTCACAGGGTACACCGTAAAGCGAATCGACCAGCGCGCGAGTGTGTGGGCGGGTGGGGTGTTGGGTGTAAGGTGGGGCTGTGAGTAAGGTGCTCCGAACACAACTCTAATAAATCCTGATACGCGCTCTCACATCACTTCTCTGCCGCCTCCCTTCACAGGCCCTGGCAGTGGGAGTTCTCCTGATACTGTCTAACAGAGACACCACCACAAACTCTCTGGTAATTATTAACGGCTTCTCTGCTCCCGTCAGTCACCCCGTCTCCCCACTGGAACTCTCTACTGTAATCCCCATTCCCCTGCTCTCTCCCCCACTTCCTCCCCCTCTCTCTCTTCCCCATTGACAGTGTGTGATGTGATGTCTCTCTCTCTCTCCCCCAGTGACGCAGTGTGTGATGTGATGTCTCTCGCTCTCTCTCTCCTCTAGTGATATAGTGTGTGATGTTGCTCTCTCTCCCCCCCCGGCCCCCCCACCCCGCCAGGGACACAGTGTGTGATGTGATGTCTCTCTCTCCCCCCCCAGTGACAGTGTGTGATGTCTCTCTCTCTCCCCCAGTGACAGTGTGTGATGTGATGTCTCTCTCTCTCCCCCAGTGACGCAGTGTGTGATGTGATGTGATGTCTCTCTCTCTCCCCCAGTGACGCAGTGTGTGATGTGATGTCTCTCTCTCTCCCCCAGTGACACAGTGTGTGATGTGATGTCTCTCTCTCTCCCCCAGTGACGCAGTGTGTGATGTGATATCTCTCTCTCCCCAAGTGACACAGTGTGTGATGTGATGTCTCTCTCTCTCCCCCAGTGACGCAGTGTGTGATGTGATGTCTCTCTCTCTCTCCCCCAGTGACAGTGTGTGATGTGATGTCTCTCTCTCCCCCAGTGACACAGTGTGTGATGTCTCTCTCGCTCCCCCAGTGACGCAGTGTGTGATGTGATGTGATATCTCTCTCTCCCCAAGTGACACAGTGTGTGATGTGATGTCTCTCTCTCTCCCCCAGTGACGCAGTGTGTGATGTGATGTCTCTCTCTCTCTCCCCAGTGACAGTGTGTGATGTGATGTCTCTCTCTCCCCCAGTGACACAGTGTGTGATGTCTCTCTCGCTCCCCCAGTGACGCAGTGTGTGATGTGATGTGATGTCTCTCTCTCTCCCCCAGTGACACAGTGTGTGATGTGATGTGATGTCTCTCTCTCTCCCCCAGTGACACAGTGTGTGATGTGATGTCTCTCTCTCTCCCCCAGTGACGCAGTGTGTGATGTGATGTGATGTCTCTCTCTCTCTCCCCCAGTGACGCAGTGTGTGATGTGATGTGATGTCTCTCTCTCTCTCCCCCAGTGACGCAGTGTGTGATGTGATGTGATGTCTCTCTCTCCGCAGTGCCAGGCTGCTCTCCCGCTGGCAGTGCTCACCGTCGCTGCCTCCCTTCTCCAGTTTGCCATCGCGGTGAAGGCTGCCCTCCTCGGCCCGTACTGCTACTACTCCTTTGCCGGAGGGGTGGGCACTGCCTACCTGGGCTACGCCATCCAGTACCCGTACCCGTACCCCCGGACCCTCATCTGTCGAGACCCCCTGTTTTATGAGTTCTACCACCTGGGTCTGCAGGTGATCAGCCTCCTCATCAGCCTCGTCCTCAGCTTCTCCTCCCTCACCTTCCTCATCATCCACCTCCTCACTGCGCTCAGCAGCCTGAACGTACGTACAGCACACACGTGACCTCTCCTCCTCTTCGGTCACTCCATTTTACGGTGTATCCTGTGAAGCGCTTTGAGACATCTTGAAGACGTAATAAGGCGCTGGGTCAAATGTAAGGATTGTTATTGTTATTTATTATAATCCAGGTCACCCCAGTCCAGTTCGCTCCCTCACCCACTTTAATGCTCAACTGAGCTCAGAAGGTGGCAGGTGAAAGGGAGAGTCAGAGGGAGAGGACCTGCTGAAGGTGGTGAGGGCCAAGTGAGGAGATAGACAGGCAAACGCTACCCCTCGGGTCAGTGAGTCACCAATTTAAAACCATCACCAAAACAATCCCAGCAATGCGAGAGGTGAGAAGAGTTACAACAACAACAACAAGACATGTGAACAGCACCTTTCACGTCGGGAGGGCGTCCCAAGGCGCTGGACGGTCAGTGTTTTGGACACACCAGCAACACCCAACCACACACACACACACATACACACACACTGCTTGTAACCGAATCCACAATAGCCGTGAACCCAGAGTTACACAGAGCCACAGACACAGCCCCCACGAGACCGGGCAGCTCTGCATGTTCCACACCAGCCCTCACCCCACTGTTGCCCCTCTCCCCCACCGCCCCCCGCCCCCCACCCCCACCCACCCCACCCACCTAGACATCGTCTTAAATACATAATAATCCTTGCATTTGATAGAGCACCTTATCATGTTGTCGAGACGTCTCAAAGCACTTCACAGGGTAAAGTGTAGTGACTATATCTTTTGTGGGCGACGTCAATGCTTTTTGCTTTGACCACAAAATTCCGCAAATGAATTCCACTTCCTCAGTTTTCAAAGGGAATAAAAGGGAAAAGTATAAAAGTGAGGGTGGTGAGTGGGGGCTGTGTGAGTGTGGGGGCGCGGGTTGTGTGTGTGTTTGTGGGGGTGGGGGAGGCCCTGGAGGGGTGGGGGGATTGTGACAGGGAGAGAGCTGACAGTGGCAGTGTCTGGTGAGACGAGCTCTCTCGGGGCACTCTGCCTGATTGCCCCCTTTGTCAGCAGGGCCGGAGGAGAGGCTGGTGACCGGTCAGTGGGGCGATCGCCTCACTCTCTGTGTGCTTCATTTCGGGAAAGAAAATCCCAGGATACATATGGAGGAAATCGGAATTGGAAGCTTCGGTGTGGGAAGAAGCCGGATTGTTCCCATTCATCTTCCCGCTTCCCCCTCGGCTGTGACAGACAAACAAGCACGTCTCAAACTCTCTCCCATCGACTCAGACTGAATCTGTGTGTCTGCTCTAACCATTCACACAGACCAGGAAAATCCCAGGTTAACCTGCAATACTCTAACCCCATTCCCTGCTCTCTCCCCATCCTCTCTGTGGTGGTGCTCGCTCCCCCACTGGAGCTCTCTACTCTAACCCCTTCCTCTGCTCTCTCCCCAGTCATGGCTGTGCTGTAGCTCTGTCCCCTGCTTTCTCTCGGACTATTCTCTGTTGTATTGATTGCTGTTCTGATCTCAGCCCCAACAGTAAAGCAATATGTGCTCTAATAACCCTCTAATTGAACAGGTTTCTTCCAACCTCGCCCTGAACTCAGGGAGTTGAGGCCAGAATACTGGGACTCATTTTAGAAAGCACATCTTGGTGCTGTGATGGTGGGGTTGGGAGGGTTGGAGGGTGATCGACAGGGATGAGATCAGAAGGTCTGAAGGAAGGATCTTCTTCACACCGAACTGGTTGGTCACCAATTTTTATTTTGCCGGGTGTCTGACACACACGGAAACCTATCACCGTCGCTTAAGAGTCTCCAAACCCAACTGAGAATTCCCTGCCTCCCACCTACACATGGAAATCCCGGAGATAGATTGTTGGAATGGAATGCGCTCTCTCTCTCCCTGGAGTTTACCTAATTTCAGAATGTATCAGGCGCAGACTGGCAAGAGCCAAGGCTTGGGGGGACCCCAGAGTGTGCGTTGGGGTAACTGCAGGAGTCTCAACACAAATACCACTTTGGGTGGCAGATTGGGTTGTGCCCACCACCCGCTCCTGGTGGCGCTATTGGCAGCGTTGGCATCTCATGATCAGCAGCGCCCCCGCAGTGAGGCGGCGGTACTGCAGCTGTTTGCAACACTGCCCATTTCACTGACACTAAGTTAAGGTGGTTCTTGATGCCCAACGAACAGCCCGAATCCTTCACAGCACAGCATCACACTCAGTGATGTGATTGCTAAAAACATGCCACTGTTTCCCCTTCTTCCAGCAGGTCCACAGAGAGCAAGCGACCAGAGGCCTGAAATTCCACCCGGTCTCAGTCTGTGACACCGTCTCACCTTAAAGCTTGTGTTAGCCCAGAGAGCTGGAGAATTCCTCAATCCAGCCTTCACTTGGAAGCCAGTTTCTTTCTAAGAACTGCGGAACTCATCTTCTGAATTAAAGCTAGATTGACAAACTCTTAACAACAACAACTTGCATTTGTACAGCACCTATCACACAGGTTAGCGCCCCAGAGCGCTCTCCCCCAATTCTGCACTGTCCCAACTTATACAGGCTGAGATTAGGTGGAATTTCAAGCGTGGGGGGGGGCAGGTGGCTGATTTTCCCCCTTCTTGAACCTGAGGTCCTCTGAGGCCAATCGCGGCTCCACCTGAGATCGGGGAGATTGCTGTTAGCTTTAACTTTATGTTTAATCTTTATTTTAATATTTATTGTTTCTTATCTGGCTGTTCAACACCATATTTTCCATCTGACTGAGTCCATTGGCTGGAGACTCATCCAAGTTCTGCTAACTGGCCACAGGTGACTGGGCACTGAGCTGGTCAAGCCCATTAATCAGCAGGGTTTTCTGGTCAATGTGCAGAGGGTCAGGGAGGGTGGCGGAGGGTCAGGCAGGGTGGCAGGGAGTCAGAGAGGGTGGCAGAGGGTCGAGGAGGATGGCGGAGGATCAGGGAGTGTGGCAGAGGGTCAGGGAGGGTGTGGGATGGCGGGGAAGGTGTTGTAGGACACTGTAAATCCAGACAAGAACAAAGCGCAGCTGGATGGGCTGGATGGCTAACGGTGGCCAAAGGCAACCAAACAATGGCAAGGTTGACTTTTTTGGGGGTCAACCAGATGCCCAATAATAATCCCTCCAAAAAAAAATTGGTCATTTTCAATCCATGACTGTTTGTGGGACATTGCTGTGCGCAATTGGCTGCCGCGTTTGCCCACAAATATACAGTCAATTCACTTTACAGTATATTCTGTGAAGCGCTTTGAGACATCGAGAAGACGTGAAAAGCACTATATCAAATGCAAGGATTATTATTATTATGTCTGATACAAGCGGAAACCCATCACCTGCTTAAGAGTCTCCAAGGTTACCTCTTGGCCAGCAGTGTGATTGGGTGTCAGGTCAAACGTTAGACTGACACTGTAAACCGTGTGTAAAAGCTGTGGTCTAAGGCCATTGTACAATCAGGTGACGGCCAGAGGCAGGAGAGGGAGGATTTATGACAGAACCTGTAACATCTCAACTGGCTCAAAGGGCTTCACAGGAATCGTTGTCATGTTTAGTGACTGTGGATTTTGTAGGGGAACCCGGGGGTCAATTAATGCACAGCAACGTCCCACAAATAGCCATGAAGTAAATGAGAGCTTCATCTGGGGCATTGTCGGCCAGGACAGAGAGAGAAAGAGAAACCCCCTTCTCTTTTTCCAACAAGAATCTTTAACGTCCGCCTAAACAGGTGTGTGCAGGCGTGAGCTTGGTTTGGCGTCTCACCTGAAGGACGGTGTCTCTGACAATGCAGCGCACTCTCTCCCCCCATTACCCCCACCACCACCCCAAACAGGGTGACAGGGAGGGAGGGAAATCATCATTGTTGTGGAAGAATTTTGCGAAGTGAAGAATTAATTAAGAAATCCCATGATTTTGTCTTTGTTTCCTGTGTGTGGAGTGCTGTGTTTGCTTTCAGTCAGGCTCTCACGTGGGAAGTGGGGGAAATTCCTACATTTCTTAATTAAGAAATCCTGGTGAGAAATCTTGCAAAATTAGGTCCTTCTCCTCCGCGCACCACTCCCCCAACACGGGGCAGAGGGGGCAGACAGGCAGTCAGACAGTCATAGAGACAGAAATACATACAGACAGACAGACAGAGTGGGCAGACAGACAGAGCGGGCAGACAGACAGACAGACAGACGAGCAGGCCGGCCGGCCGGCCCCAGCGCTGGCTGAGTGGGGAGACCAGAGGTTCCAGCTCAGCACATTGGCCGAGGTTCAAATCCACAATGTGACTCACTGCCCCGTCTGCGTCACTGTCTGTCCTGCAGTAAAACGTCTAAACCTGCGGCAGCAACCTTCACTTTATACAAAAGTGTGAAGTGTCCAAACCCCTTCTGTCCAGCGCCTGGGGACGCCCTCCCGACGTGAAGGGCGCTGTGTAGATGTAATCTTGTATTGTATTTGTATTGTATACCCTCCATTGCCTCCCCCTCACACGTTGCCCCCTCACACACCCTCACACTGCCCTCCCTCAAACACACTCCCCTCCTCACACACTGTCCCCTTTACACACACAGAGGAAACTCTGAGGTTGGGGGTGACAGCTGGAAGGCGTTTACGTGGCGGTTTGGGGACGTTACGCGGAGAGTTACGTGGAGTCTGGGTTGGTAAACACTCATTTGTAAATCCAGCACCTGGAGTCCGTCTCGATTGGTTTGTGCAGAGAGATAAGCAGCTGTTGCTCAAATTCCGCATCTCCAACTGGGGGGAACCATCGCTCAGCGAGAAGGGCCGTGTGGCTGAACTGCTGACAGGAAGGTGGTGCTCACAGGGAGTTCCTGGTACCTGCCATCCACCCAGTGAGGCTCACACCCACACTTGTCTGATGTCAACTTGTCTGTTGGTCAACTAGTGCGGGGCAGTGTGCGGGGGGGGGCGCGGGGGGTGGGGGTGCAGGGTGTGTGAGGGGGGATAGTGTGCGAGGGGAACAGTTTATGAAGGCGTCTCACACATACGCACACACACACACACAGCTCCGAGTCTCTGTCCTTATTACTGGCGATTTAAACATGCATATAGATTGACAACAGAGGCTCCTTGGGTTTATCCCACCCCCTCACACACACACACACACACACACACGCGCGCGCGCGCACCCCACTTCCTCCTCCACACCCCACCCTTCAACGTCCACAAGCTGCGAAAAGCGAGAACTCCAGGATTTATTTTATTTCGTCAAACGTTTGTTTAAACGTTTGCAGACGTTTGCGGAACCACAGGCAGAGGAGCCAGCAATGAAGTGTGTGTACGTGCGTGTGCGTGTTTGTTTGCGTGTAAATGTGTGTGTGTGGATATGTGCGCGTGTGTATGTGTGTGTGTTTGTGTAAGTGCGTGTGCACGTATGTGTGTTTGTTTTTGTGTAAATGTGTGTGTATGTGTTTGTGCAAGTGTTGTGTCCGTATGTGTATGTGTGCACGTATGTGTGTGCGCGCGCGTATGTGTGTGTGTGTGTGTGCACCTATTGGTATGCT